TGTGTGTGTGTGTGTGTGTCAGGCCTGCGTCTCCAGCTTCAGTCTGGTCCTGAAGGATTTCCTCTCCTCTCAGACGTCAGGTATGATCGGCTCCTCTCCACCTGGCTTCACCTTTAGCTCGCTCGTTTTCTCTTCTGCTGCTAATGTCTTAGCTTTACGATAGTTCTGAATCAAGTCTTTGCAGGAGCTTGTCTTAGTTTTTGTGGGATTGTTGTCCGGTGCATTTTTTGCCCACAAACATACTTCTCTTTGAGCCCTAATGTCTAAAACCTTATGACGCTACTTTTAAAGGAACCACCAGAATACTGATATGATTGATTTTAATAATCACACCATCACCCGTGGAAAGAAAGATACTGACGTAGTATTTCATGAGAGAACTTGATGTTTTGTTGTCTATGGAGGCTGAGATTTTTTGGAGCTAGCCCCAGCGGCCCTCTATGGTATTGCACTTTAAAGCACTTTCCCCATTGACTTCACTTTTCTTTCTTTTTTTAATGCATATTGGTATGATATTGTATGTTTGGAAATACACCTACAAGAAACTTTCTATTTTACTGAATTGCATTGTAATTATGTGTACATTTATCTGTATATCTATTATTCATACATATTTGGATTTATTAGTGTTTTCTCTTTGTAGTAATTAATTATAAGTTCATGGTTTAAATGCAATTTAATATAATTGGTAGCAGCTCTGAAAAATCCGTATTGGTTGGGCTCCAAATCTTTTTTGTAAACATATAAACAAAATCTGAAATCTACAGAAATCACATCAAAACAGCTGATCGATGATTCAAAGCTTTCTGCTTCCAACATTCATAAAAAGAGACTCTTCATTCGCTGAGTTTATTTCAGTGACAATGAAGCAAAACACATAAAATATACTGAATATGATAAAGCAAGTAATTGTCTGTGTGACCTTGTGGAGTTTATGTTTTATGATGAGTCTCTGATCTGATCACAAGTGACTATATTTGACATGAGATGAATGGCTGCTCGTTCGTGTTACTGGCTGTTGCCCTTCGCTGCATCAAACATCTTCTTGCGGCCCTCCATGCCCGACATGGCTTCCACATTCTTCCTCCAGTCGCTCACCTCTGCTGTCTTCTCCTGCAGCAGGCACATACACAATAGATTTTATCCTAAGTCTTTTGCAGTTCCATGGTTCACTGACTTGGAGTTATTAGAAGGTTTCCTCTTTCATTCTCACTCCTGAATGTCTGTTCTTGATCTATGTAACTTTGTTGATCAGGTATGATCTCCTGTGAGAAGTGCCTGAAAGTGTACTGAACTCTGCATGTGTTTTGAGAAAGAGACGCTCCACAGTTTCTACGGAGTTTATCTACCTGGCCTCCTCGTATAAAGTCTGTAGAAATCCATGAAATGATGACGCTTCTAACAAGTAACAGATGCAAAAATGAAAAAAAGAAAACAAATATATAAATATATTTTTGTTTCTCTATTCTACACTCACCTTCTCTGTGTCCTCCTTCTTGACTGATTTGAGGTTGGCTCTCAGATCCAAAGAAACCTTGTGTTTTGAGCCCAGCAGGGAGCGCAGGATGGCGTCAGCAGAAACCCTCACTCTCCGGAGGCTGGGTCTCTTAAACTTCCCTCGCAGGTCCAGCACCTTGATGTTCAGGTCTTTGATCTGCGGAGAAAGTGAAGAGTGACGGCCTGTTCACGCTAATGCCGACATTTAGCAAAACAACCTTTTTCCTTTGTGTCTGGGCGTCTCGTCCACATGCAAACGGCAAAGTCACTAAAACAGTGAATCTGTAGGTACAAGTAAAACAGAGCATTTGGGAAACAGTGTCCACTTTTTTGTGTAATGAGCATGACCCGGCATGCTTGTTTGAACGTTTGCGGTCGTTTTTGTGTTCTCGTTTTTTGTAAATCAAAGGTTGTGCAGACGGACTGCTGCAGTCTAGAGTCACTCTCAAGCTGATTTCCTGCGCGTGATACTTGTTGGACAACATCGATATAACTCTCCAGCTTCAAGACTTTTTATCTGAGCTTTTTCTTAACTTCTGCTCTTTACCTCTCTGCTGTTGTGCATGACTTTGGCTTCAATGTCGTACCGCTCCTCGTCCACCACATCTATTTTGGCGTGCAGTTCTTCACATAATGTCTGAATGGAACAAGGATTAGATGTTATTTCTCCTTAGTGACTTTTATTGTGACAGAATTTTTTAGTTGTGAAATATAAAATTCTACCTTCAGCTCTGTCAAGGACATGTAACTGATCTGCATCGGAGGAGCTTTCTCTTCCAGGTACTGTGACTTCTCTTCCTCTTTTTCCTCCATCTCCTGCTCCAGCTCCTCCTTCGCTCTGGCCACCATCATGCTCTGAAACATCGCACACATTCAAAATCTAAATTTAACATTTTAACATTTTAATAAGACTCTGGTTGTCTCTGTGCAAACGTGACTGAGGACTCACCTTCAGCATGAGCTTGCGTGAGGCTGATATTTTAGATTTCCTCTGCAAAAAGGAGGATTTCATTTTTAGTGTGACATTTTGTTGGCCCAGAAAGGATCTTGACATTAATGGTGTTATTAAATGATTAGATGTCTTAGTCAGCAATGTCTTTGAAGACTTACCTCTGGTCTGTGGGTAGAGAATAAAGATGGAACATGATAGACACAGAAATAAGGCGTTAGCACTCAGTTGTATAGATTGGAAAAAAGAAAGTTATATCTAATCACTGCTGTCTTTAATTATGTTTCCATAGATTCATTTGGTGTATGAAACTGATAGACTCATTTGTAAATGGAAAAAATAACAGACACTGGACACTTACGCTTTCTCAGGCATCTTGAGTATTTGAATTCCCCCTGAAGACAAAAATAAAACCTTTTGTATTTGAAGTGCTCGACAGTCGGGACCACTCGGGTCCAGAGCCCCAATGGGCCTTTACCATGGTTTCCACTTTCACTCCACTACACATACATTCCATTACACAGTCAGTCATATACTGTTACCAGGCAGAAAACTTGCAGTATATTTATAGACATGAATTGATATTTAAATTTTTTATCTCGGATGTATTGTTGATGGATGGATGAAATGAGGGATGTGACCTTTCCCATGTGTTGTTTTGTTTATCAGTCATTGTTGCATCCTCCTCGTGGAGCCTCGTGGACAGAATCAGCCAGTCACCTCCCAGTGTTGATGGTACAAACCTCTGCCAGAGAGCTAAGTGATGGCAGACGCATGCAAGGCCCCCAACATGGCAGCTACTCTCGATAGATAACGTTTCTCCCCTTCACCCCCACTTTTCCACTGGATAAAGACAAATATGGGCAGACTCCCCCAATTCTTGGAACCGAACTGACCTGAATACAGTTTTAAAGCACTTCTGACTTTTCGAAGAAACCGACCCCTTGATAAAAGTAATTTGTATTTTCTACATAGATTTGGGCGATATTGACAATATAAGGTTCGATATAAGTTTGCTGCAACTTATTTAACACTTATTGTAACTGGTCATTGAATTATTATTGAATTAATATATTATTGAACATTTTATGAACATTAATTTATTTATGTGACAAATTCAGCCTTAAATTTTACAACTAGTGATGACATTTCTGTCTGGTTATTTTATCAGTGATTGTTTTAGTTGCTGTGTTGCGACAATATAACTTTTGATGAATTTTTCCCATTTATTATTCTGCAGTTAAATCTCTTGAGATCATGTGATATTCAGTCCAGACAGTGATTTAAAGCCAGTCATAGAAAATAGATTTACTCTTTAAATGTTTCAATTTAAAATGAGAATTAATTAGTAGTAAAAGTATTTTTTTAAAGCAGAAAATAAAAAAAAACTTTAGATTAATGAGAAATGAAATTAGTTGCAGCCCAAGATGTAAAATTGATCAGCAAATTTCTTGTCTTTGATTTCAACATTCTTTTCTTGTCCTATAATCTAATTGACTAAAGTCAAGGCAAGAGCATAAACTTGATTATGAAAGCACACACTCAACATACTACAACTTCATATCTTAGAAGTAATACTTTCATCGATGTAGTACCGCAGAGATACTTGGTCTTACCTTCTTGTGATGATGCTGCAGACTGACACAAAGTGATGGAGAAAAGAGCACGGCTGAATATTTATCCCACTTGTCCCCCGTCTCTCCCTTTGTCCCTCCTCTCTATCACAAGGTGACTGAAATAGAAACTACACACACACACACACACACACACACACAAAGACACACACACCATGGGAGAGGGTGGTCTCAGCATTACAGTGATTGTGATGCTCGTGTTGTGTTGACAGATCACTGCTTTCTGTGTCTTTATAATGTGTGTGAACTTTTATTGGTGCCAGGTCGGGATAAACTTCTATCTTGTCAGCTATCACTTCACTGGGTTTCAGGCAGTTGCTAATCAGATTTTCATCTTTTACATGACTGAACTATTTAAAGCTCTTGGTAGGATCATCTCAACCATTTGCTCTTGCCAACACGCTCCTGCTGTGTTTACAAAAAGTTCAAGTGAAAGCCCTCTTTGTTTTTTTTTCCAAACTTCAAGCAGCCGAAGCGAACGGCCTGTCCTGTCACTATGGATGATTTTCTGACATTTTCTTGGGCTACTGAGCGAAATATTGGAGACGGACTCCGTCCCCCCTGAGACTGCAGGGCCCCCTTGGTCTGATTAGGATAATAGCTGTAGACAATGCTAAGCCATGGTTTTAAGGCAGGAATGCAGTTTCCAGTGCACATTTGGCTACGGCCGTGCAACTAAACATAGACAAAGTGCAGCAACATGTGATGCTGCCACTCTGAATACGTACGTATGCTTCATATCTGCCTTCATTTGCGCTTCCTGTGAACATATGTCTATCATACAAGGTCAATACGTCCCTGAATTAATCCACAAAATCACCTGCGTCAGTCTGATGTTGTGTTTAGATTTAGTTGTGTTTAGTTTGTACAGCAGTTTCAAAGTCGGTCACATACTGTACACAGTAACCTTTGTAATGACACAGCAAGTTTGATCAACGTAATCAAAGCAGTTGTCCGACCGACTGACCAACATATGGACCATTAAGGTATGCTGCAGCCATATACTGTAGGTCAAAAGTGAAGCGCTGTGCAGAAGCAGGAGGGATAGAGATAAAGACTAACGACATGTCTCCACTTATACTCACTTAAGATCCCAGACGCTAACGCCACCATCTTACAAAACTGGAGTCTGAGTCTTTGCAGTAGTGGTCAAAGGATGAAGCCTCGGTAATTAAGTCCTGTCCAGACATGCGCTTAACCAATGAGGAAAGTGTCTCAGCTGTCAATCAGGATGTTTCACCCCGTTTCCAAATAACCAATTAAAACCAAACTTACCAAGAGATGAGCACTTGAACCAACATTACACCTTTCTTTGAGAAAGATGTCTTTAATGCGTTCTTACGATAAATTAAATGATCATTAATCCAGATCTAGTTTCATGAGGTGAATTTACTGGCTGGCTATTATTAAATGCTTGTCCTATTCTTAAAGCTAGCTCCTTAACCTTCACTTTATAACATCGTGAATAAGTGAAGTGAAAAGGAGTCTGTGCTCTGGGTCAGCAACTGTCTGTAACTAGTTGGTTGTGTTACCACCTGTCCGCTGTTCTCTCAGGTGTGTGTCGTCCACTAAAAAAACTAAAATCCCCTCCCCCCTGTGGAGTTTCAGTCTTTCCCTATACAACTTAACATGTAAACAAACCTCCTAATGGATCTTAACAGCCTTGGCGGAGGTATGAGCTCTACTGAGTGACATTCTAGTTTAGCTTTTCTTTCAAGGTCATTATTTATTATGACATTATATTTATGTACAGAAAGACAGAGAAAGTGTCCTCGTGATGCAGAGCACCGTGAACCAAGCTGATTGTTACTATTACAACTTTAACTTTTAAAGGGGCGCACAGCTGAACCGCTAAACCTGTTATTTACAGTTTCATATTTACAGCGTCACTGGGCTCTACCATGGGAAATACAGAAGAACAGTCTCTGCAGTGAAATAAAACTGTTTTTTTACACTGTCTGCAACTATATCACCTCATTATTTTTTTATTGGTAAAAGTTAGATGGTAGAAATTTTCAGCAAATGTTCTCTTGCTCTCGCTGAGTCAGGACTTTAAACTCCCTCATACTGATTTGATTTATGACGCTGAGATCCGGGCTGTTGGCTCATGGCAGCTGATTGTAATTCCACTGTATATATGGCAGCAGGATTAACACGAGGGTTTGCTGGACTGTCTCTATAGAAACAAACTCATACATTCAGATGCCTGGGGATTATATTTGCAGGGAGGTGTATGTGAGAGTTTGCTGGAAAGTGTTTTATTTAAAACCAGCTGGAGAATTTCAAAAGCGTCAGTTGAATCATGTTGGGGTGTAATGTTTATGACAGAGACCTGTGAACTATGACGTAGATGGTCTGAATAGATTTTTGCAGCCTCTGTCTTTGCACATTAATGAGGAAACACTGATTTCCAAGAAATTGCAATAACTTACTTGAATCTAACAAGTTCGAACTGATTCCAGGTATGTGGTGTGTAAGATGTTTGTATTTAAAAAACACATAATGTATAATTTAATTAATGAGCTAATTAATTGGCTTTTAAAACAGGTTTCCCTTGTGAACACACTGTGGGTTAAGAACAATACACGGCAGAAACTTCTTTCTTACAGCACAGTCGTCCACCTTCGAGCTGATTCTCTCAGACGAGATTTTGGTGTGTACATTATTTGCAAATGTAGTTTTTCTTTTTTTTAAAGAAACTACTGCAGCTCATACAACAGCTGACACATTTGTTCAAAGTTGCTGTAGTGCCACACAGTGGATGTTCTAATACAGTGTGGTATGAAGTGCTTATTAGAAGTAACCCTGTGTTACTATGGGGCGCTGATGCATGGCAACATTTGAAGCTTATATTAGATCACACACATAGGCCTCTTCATTGCCCTCTGGTGGGTGAAAGGCTCAAAGGGTTTAACACTTATCTGTCCTCCGTGGGTTGTGATAGATACCAGGACATTTAATGAAAACATTATGCCATTATTTGAGGATGTCTACAAGGTCGGAGATGAAAATGTTTTCCTTCCATATATTTACAATCTAACAACTTGGAAGCTTTGGAACAACAGATCCTTGGTCTTGAGTGTAATACCCACTCAGTCAGATTAATTTGGTATTTAACATGTAATCTAATCTGAAAAATGTTGGATTACTTCGAAGTAAAACAATGAAAATATTGAACTCCACAATTCCACACATATTCTTTTTCCCTCTTAATACAACTGTAAACATTAATGCAGTTATAATGTATTTTTCCATCCGATTTAGCTCATGAGCTCAACCATCATCAACTTCACTACAACTGAAAAAGATTTAAGACGAAACAAAAACCAAATAAATCCCATCATGCATCATTACCTACCTTCAGTGGTTAAGTGTTTCCATATCAAGGCTCACCAAATAGCATTAGCCTCTGCCTGGGGAACCCTTTTGAAAACTGACTGACAAATGTAATAATACATTTTTTATCTCATGTTCATTTTTAATCATTCCTTTTGATTTCAGTTTTCTATAATAAGCAATTTAAATTTCAATCTCGACTGAAACCTGCCACAAGGTGGAACACTTCTCTTATCATATGTTATTATGGTGCTGTACCCTCATATGTAATCCTCTTTACATGTAATCCATTACTACCCCTGTTAAAACTTTTCAACTCAGACTCATATCACACTCAGTGCCAAATCAAACAGCTGCCCCTCCCCCTCCTCCTCCTCCACCTCCTCCTCCACCGCCACCACCGCAGCTGCCTGGTACTCCGGTCAGTCTGCCAACTCCTCGGCTCAGGCGGAGACGGGGCTGAATACTGCAACTCCCTTGTTCACCACAACAGCTGGCGTTTTGCTCTGTGTGACAGTGATGATGATGATGATGATGATAATAAGAAAAAAATAACAAACACGCCCAAGACCACAGGAATGCACACAAACAGATTTCATCCCATCAGATCAACAACAAGAACAATTGTGTAATAGATACCATCACAGGGAATTACAGCAAAACCTGTTGTTTTTTGTATCCTGATATTTATTTTGTGCCTCAGAGACAATGCGTATTATAAGACAGTATCTACATTATTTGACATGGAAGGCAGTAAGGATGGAAATATCATATCATGAACAGTCATGAGCCTTTTTCCTGTTCCCAAACTCTTTCAGATATTATTCAAACTTTGCTCAGTTCTGTTACAGGGTATCTTAAAAAAAATTGAATCATCTGAGTTTTAGGCCTTAAATATGTGACAAATATTACAAACTATGATGAAACTGAAGCATTAAACTTGAGCTGCGTCTCAATTCAGAGGCCCCATTCTTCAGACGCTGCATTTAAAGACCAACGTCACAGCTGCGAGACTATACTAGCTCATTTTGAAGGCTACTTCAAAAGTGTCCTTCCATCCCAGAGAAGCAAAGGCTCTGGTTTGATCCTCGTTAGACGACTGACCATTTTTTAAAGACGTAACAGTACTGCCTCCTTCGTAGGCCATGTAAACCGTGTCCACTGAAGTGAGTGGCCCCTGAATTGGGACAGAGGTTATGGATACCTACTGAGAAAACACTTTGAGGGTTAATCTCCACAAGGCTACTTCACCTTATCTTCAATCATAGGGAAGCATAAATAATTCTTGGCTCTTAAAGTTTTAAACTTGTTGAAACCTGCAAAAACCCTGTGTTAACTCTCTTTATAACCTTTTTTTATTCTAAGATGGAGCAGGCTTATTTGCTGTTAAATACTCAGTGTAAATACACACAATATGCAAATCCAAACACAGTTAGATTTCAGTCTGTTTCTTTTTGAACCTACTAAGTTAGACTCTGTTCTATAGCAACACACAGTAAAGAGCCGGTAAACAAACAGCTTGGTATTGGGTTTTGTGCCTCGGTTGTTCTTTCTGAAGCTGGACTGAAAGTGCAGAGTGAAGTGAAGGCAGACAGGACTGAAGGATCCTGGAAGCGATGATATGGGAACACACCACATGTCGGTCCCCTGTGAGCCGAAGCTTCAGGCTTCACTGGGAGTGAGCCAGAGCTCCTGCACCCTGACCGAAGCCGAAGCCCTTGGGACCAAAGTTCTTCGCGTAGCAACCTGTGAATAAAAAGACGGTGAATGAGAAACACTGTGGATAATAACAATGACTGTCTGGCATCTCAATTAAACAATACTGAGAACACAGATACAGTTCTACTCAGTGGTAAACCTCAGTTTGCAGAGAATAATAATAAGGTTTGTGTTGACGCCTGTTGGCTGATAGAAACTAGGTGACTGACAAACATGGATTATATGGAAGGCTTTGATTTCTTTGATTCTGGACATTGTTCAAATACAAATTAAATGGGCAAAATGCTTCAAGGTCAAAGTTTTCGAGTCCTTTGGTTCCCCTGTGTTTTTGCACTTTACTTTGGCGACAGAACGCACAGCTAACGACAATGAACATTTGTGATCCAATACAAACAGTGGAAAGAAAGAACAGTCAGTCAGTGTTTACTCCTTCTTCAGACGTTGTTTGCTCCTGACGTTATAGCAGAGATGGACAAAGTCAAAGGTAAAGTAGATATGACGCAATTAAAAGGCGACCGAAATTAAATGTCTCATTACCTTTTAATCAAACTGTGGATTTTTCTCGGTTTGAACAAAATGTTGGAAACATTTTGGATAATGTAGCTATTCAACACAGTTTGCATGTGTTTATGGGGAAATTAGATTATTTTTATTATTTATGATTTACTAATGTATAAACATCACAGCCTAGTGGTAAGATTTTAATTTGACTGTCACATAAGACAAAGAAAATCAATCACACATCTATGCAGGTTCGTCTTTTTAGATGAGAAATGAATAACTCCTCATCAAGATAATCGCCAATTAATTTTCTGTCCATCATCCAGGCTAATTGAATGATCCACCAATGTCTTCAGCTCTAGTTGTTCCACACAGACCTTTACAGAAGATCTCCCCATCTCGGTCAGCGACGGTGGTGGACTCCAGCCCTTTGCCACACTTGGCACAGCGAAAGCATCCCTTATGCCAGGACTGAGCAGAGAGCAAACAATTAGATTTAGATAGAAAATACACAGAGAACGTTCAAATCTCAGATGTTTCTTACGTTGCCTCCTCCGATAACCTTCTCCGCTGCGTAAACTGTTTTGCCACATCGAGGACACACGTCTGAGCCGCCTGATTTCTGGGCAAACTTGGAGGTGTTGGGGTTGTTTGTCGGGCGGAAAGGAGATTGACTGGACACAGAAATCAGAGCTTTTAATGAACGGAAACAGAACAGCTGCACAAAATCAGCTTCATTACATTTAAGAGACACATATATATTTATATATAATCATTTTATGTTTCATTCCTCATTTGAAATTAGAGCCCGACCAATATATTGGATTGCAAATAATATCGGGCCTTTTAGTTTTGCAAATGTGAATTTGCATTTATGTTTATATTTTATGTAAAAATAATATTTCAAGTCTATTAAGTAATTTTTCCAAATGTATGGTTATTTTTAATAAAGTTTATGGTTAATGTCAAGACTCAATTACATTTCTTCATTATAAGAGTTTCATTATATCTTAGGAAACATTGCTATTTAAACGCTATGTTTAATCTGCCGAGGTATCAGAAATGTTTTACTCCTTAATGTCGAGGGTTATATGAAAGCTCTGTATGAAACTTTTGATCCAGCACCTGTAGAAGCTTTTTTCTTTTCAATAACTGTATTATAATAAATATACTTCAGTTAAAGGCTTTATACTCTATTCTCAACACTAATTGGGAGAAGTGATGTTTTGCTCACACTTCAGGTTTGATTCCAAGTCCCTCTCCTGTGTCCATACTCAGCGTGCCGGCTCCACCTCCGAAGCCGTAGCCTTTTGGTCCATATTTCTTGCCGTAGCATGACTTGCAGTAGATCTCGTCCACATGTACAGCCACTGTAGTGCTGTCCAAGTTCTTCTTACAGACCACTTCAAACAAAGAGAATGGAATAAACACAGTTTATATGTGTAAATCTATGATTATCCCTTCCCACACTTCAGTCCTGGAGTTTCTACCGTGCAGCAAAGAAAAGCAGTCCATGACTTAATTCCACAGATGTTTCAGTGTGTCTTTACCACAAACTATGCATGACATCTTAAGGAAGAAAATGGCATAACCACTATGTGCTTTGCTTCAGACTAATGCTTGGCAGTGCTGGAGTGGGAGGGAGCACTTCTACCTTCCTCTGCCATATAAGGACGACCAAACCTCTGTCACATGCTTCAGTGGATCCAAATAAGGACAAAGATGTGTGAGTGAAAACCTGCGGATGCTCACTTTCCTAACAGCGTGCCAAATACCCCGCATTCCTCCCTGGCACTTCTTGTGATTGCACAGTGGTAAAAAAGGAAGCGGTGGATGAACAAAGTGGATTTTACCTGCGAACTTAAGATACTTACTGCACAGAAAACAGGACTTGTGCCAGCTCTTCCCCTCGCACTGCACTTCCTCAGCGAAGTAAACGGTTTTCTGGCAGCAGCCGCACTTGCTTCCTCCTCCGAAAGGCATTTCTGTGAGCAGGGAGGAGAGCACGGCTTGTGTACTTTTCTCATTCACTGTGTATATTGTTGCTCAGCAGACTTGAGGCCGTCTGCGACACTCGAGGCTACTCACAACAATACCTATAAAAGGAGAAGCATCCGTTTGCTATCATACAGAGCTCTTTCCTTCCCTGCAGCCTGCTGGCATCACCTGAACTGAACTATTCATACCTGATTGTAAAATGCAAAGTACCAGTGTGGCTTAGATATAATTGAATTACCTCACACAGGGACAATGACATCATACATTGATTTTAGTTTGCAGAATTGTTAAACGTCAGATGTTAAATGTTTTTGTATGGATGAAGTCATGTTGCTCAGCCGGCAGCTGTCATCCACATATGAATTAAGTCATCCACTACACTGCTTCGGATAAACAGCAAATTCCCTACATTTTATTTTGTAATTGGACGTGTTTCAAATCTGACATCATACAAAAAAAGTTTGTTAGTAAGCTTCATTGAACAATTATTTAAAAAAGTCGTTAACAAGATGGCTGCGTTTTAAGGATAGAGTATGGTGATAAAAAAAGTTATATTTCCATACAAAACTATTGTTAGCAGAGCACTGGCACCTTTTCAATGGTTTCCTGTCTGATTACTTTCCTGTTGATGCTCAGACTCAAGTTTGCAGCCTGTGCTCCAAGACAATAACAGGATATTTTTCAACTTCAAGGTCATTTTTTTTCAACTGAGCTCATTAAGTGAATATTTAAATGAACACAAACTTCAGATCAGATCCTGTGGCTGTAGGCGTGGTGATATTTGTGGTTCTATGATAAGTTGTTCTGGATCCTTACAAATTTAAACTGGAATCTTACCTGAAGTGGAGTGAAAGACTGCGGGATCCTCTCTGTGGTCGTTTAGAGATAACGAGAGACGAGTGAGTTGAGAGGAGACACTTGTGTGATGACGAGGAGTGAAAGAGGCAGAGAGGACACACACAGGCTGAACTGAGGGAGGAGTCGGGGCCACAGAGTCTGACGGAGGGAGTGAGATGTAGGAAGGAAAAGGAGGAGAGAGTTGCTGAGAGGAGCAACTGATGGGTGGGGAGGGTGGGAGAGAGATTCAGACTCGCCACTGTGCAGAATTAACTTTTAACAACTTCCAGTCACATCTGTTTTCATTTAAGTCTGCGTGTTTTTTAGCAGGAGGTTTTCTGATTTGACGAAGTACGACTGCTCTTGAAAATATTGAGGAAACTGTTTGAGTTCAGATGACTTTATTACCAAGAGTAATAACGTGTGTCAGTAAACCTTGGGTTTTCTGGTCAGTTTTAGATTTCACTCTGAAAGCTCAGATTGACACTTGTGCATAGCCACAGTCTGTTCTAAAAATAACAAGGCAACTTTCTCTTTTTTAGTTTGTTATGGAATTATTAGAAAATCAAGTTTCATTCCAGATGCAGTTTAATATGCAAAGAGACATTGGGGGCTATCTCACCTGGGTGCCCAAAAGATCTTGAATATTAATCCACAGCTGTCCTCCTGCAGCAGCCCTTTGCACTGTCCTCTCAATAAAGGGCCCACAATTAATCAACAACCTTCATATTGAAAATGGACCAATAGGCTAAGTGCAATGTTCTGAGTAATTAACCCAGAGGGTTCTAGCTCTGATTTCCCTCAGGAGTTGGTGGAGATCAAATCATAGCAAAAAGTAGAGTCAATATTGGACTTAAAGGTTTAGTGTGTAGAATTTAGTGATATCTTGTGTTGAAATTGCATGTTGCAGCTGAACACCCCTCACCTCACCCTCCACATCCAAACATGAAAAAGAACCTGTGGTAGCTTCAGTTGTCATAAAAACTCAAAAGGTGTTTAGTTTGTTCAGTCTGGACTAATGTAAAAAACATGGCGGCCTCCGTAGAGATGGTCCCCTCGATGTAAATATAAAGTATTTCAATATAAAGGCTTTTCTGGGGTAAAGAAAACTACAATTCGTACAATTTAGATGAAACAAACTAGTGAAAACATCATGAGGATTATTCTACATTCAATTTCACCTAAATCTTACACACTGGACCTTTAAATCCTTCAAGTGGCCAAAATATGTTTAATATTTGTTTGTGCTGCACCCATGTGGCCAAAAACATCACTTCAGGTTTTAATTTGCAGTCTTTGACCAACAGCTCCTCCATCAACAGGCCCCTGGTGATGTTTTTCCTACTTGCTTCTTGCTTCAGGGATTTCTTTTTCTTTTTTTTCTATCCGTCTGGTATTTAGCAAGTTAAACACATGATCTGTTGGAATTGAGGTCAGATGACTGATTTGGCAAGTCAAGAGTGCTTCGCTGTTTGGCACCACAAACCTCCTCGTCCTGCTGTGTTGTGTTAAATATTTGTGACTATGTCGGAAAAAGAACCAGAATTTGTGGTGTTCACCAAATATGGTTCTAAACGACCTCAAACAACCCTAAAGCTGAAATGTGACACCTCGTAGTCATCGAGGGCTGGAGTAAAAACTGTGTTTTGTTCAGCGAGAAGCCAGTCAGCTTGATAACAGTATTTGTAAGTGATGTCTGCCTTTAACCACACACGACATTTTCTCATGATATTTCCTGCAGTTGTGTATTTTCTGTTTGTCTGTGGGGTAATACGAAGGTTACGTCCTCATGAAATCACTCTGGGACGTTGTGTGAAGATGTACAGTATGTATTCTGTCCTGATGCTCCTCCGTGTATAAATAAAGGAGAAAGTACGAGCAGCAGTGATATCTAGGATTTGCCGCCTGTAAATCTGTCTGAAAGGAAAATAGATAAAAACTCTTGGGTCGCTGCCTTACAAGGTAATTTTATGTCTTTACGCACTCGGTGAGAAACTGTGTCAAGACAGTCCATTCCAGATTGGTGTTGGGTTTCAGCGAGGTCAGGTCAAACAGAAACTGTTTACTTGACGCATATTTTACATGTTTTTGTCTGACGTAGCCGTAATGAGCTGTCGGTCTGAGGTCAACGTTTGAGTTAAACTGAAGTTTCCCTAAACCGCCCCACAATAAACCGTTACCAACACTTTTAACTGAGTATGTATCTTCATATGTTTTATTGAGGTATTTCATAAAATCTCTTTTTGGTTTTGAATTTCTGGTGTCTGGTGCGTGCGTGTAGATGTGGAATACTACAGCGACTCTCACTGAGGGCATTGTTGGCATTTTTCTGCTGATCTTTTACTCTGTGACATTCAACAATCGCACAGGTTCAGGCTCCCTGTCTTTCACACTTTCATCACGCATGTGACCTTTCTGTGATTCTAGACGGATGGGTGGTCACTGCTGCTCCAGAATAAGCCAGAGTCTCATGCGATTCGGAGCCTTTACCGGGTTTAATCATTCAGTCAAAAAAAATGCGTGGACGTTTGAACTTCCAGCTTGGTTCAGTTATCTCCCCACATTAGAGTGAAATCAGGAAAGGTGAAACTGATAGGGAGCGTGTGGTCGATAGCAGGCAGGAAGTCAACGCCATCAGAGAGTGATGCTGCTCGGTCCGCCTGCCTCCCTCTCTCGAAGCCCTCCAGGCTCTTCACCATCATAGGAAGAGACAATGATGAACTCAAGAAGCCTATTTATAGCCCAGCGTTTGGCCAACAGTAGCCCTCTGTCTCTGCTCTGTGGACATCCGCCTTGGCTAGTTGTGTAGTATATGTGCACATGTGATTATGCTCATGAGAGAGAGAGAGAGAGGGAGGGAGAGAGCAGTGACGGAGACTCTGTGGATTTAATCCAGAGGAGAGGATAAGAGGCAAAGCCTGATAAGAGGCAGGGGCTGGGCTGGGCTGTAGTCCCTCCATCAGTGTACGCAGGAGTGCTGGAGGCTGGTGGGAGTCTCATGAAGGAATTCAGCACCGTCTCTTTTTGTATTTTGACCTGACTCGAAGCCAGGACTCCTCCCGCGGCGATGTTCTCCTCTTGGCAGTGTTTCCCACAGAAGCTTTGCCAAGTTGTCAGGTGAGGAGGAAGAGCTGGGAGAGGTGAGACGACTTCACACTGAGGATATGTTTTCAACTCAGCTGTCAGCGTGTGAGCTGGTGTTCAGTCTTAAATCCACTGTGGCTGATGTCTGTGCCTTTTGCCTTGGTTCATGCTATTCATGCACAAAAAAACCTCACGTAGCCTCATTTAGCAGTTTGAGAGCCCATGCTGTGTTTTTTAACTTTACTGTGAAGCTGGAAAAATCTGTTCATTAACTATTAATTACTCAGCAGCTATTTTGGTAACTGCTGAATCATTTAAATCATTTTTTAAGTTAAAAATTCCAACTTCTCTAAAATAAATTTGGGTTTATTTTCTCAGTCAACACTGATATTGAATCACATTGAAACAGTTACCTGGTTTTGACGACGTGCATGTTTGGGTTTTGCAGTCAGACAAAACATGACATTTTAATATGTCAGCTTGAATTATGACAAACGTTGGGCAAATGTTTTATCAGTTTATTTCAGAAAATAATCTATAAATTCAGTGACAATTAAAACAATAATTATTAGCAGCAGCCCTAAAAATGTTCACTATGTATGTATTTGTAGACTAAATGGGTTTTTACACCACAGTTTAAAGGAATTACAAAATAAAAATCAACATTTTATCAAATAAGGGCTTGTTACCTCTAACAAGGAGATGGTGTTTTTATCTGAGTTTGTTAGTTAGGACGATTACACAATAACTGCACATTACCACAAAACCTGGAGGAAGCATGCAGTGTGGGTCAGGGAAGAACCCATCGAGTGCGTTTACAGGAATCTTTTACACTTTCCTTGACATCATGAGACATTTTTTGTGATTGATTGAATTGGTTTGTAGAAGTTTGCCATTCTAGTTCTGTATCGAGTCCTATCCAAGCCAAAAGCAAGCTTCCCTTACACAAGTGGCCAAAATGAATTGTTATATTTCATCTAATGTAATTAACTGGGTTGATGATATAAAAATAACCTTCGATAAACAGGATTTGGTCAGTTTCAGAGGGTCAATGGTATAATCGTGTTTTACGGCAGAGGGAGTTTGGCTGCATGTCCGAGCTGAATGACCCTGATTCATCAAGCAGCAGTTAGACGGAGGTTAATGTGCTTCCTGCTGACTCCTGCATGGCAGCACGCACTGCACTGTGGCCACGAGAGGTGAAGACTTGCAGTTTCATGAATTAGTCAGTAGAGGTCACAGCCAGGCAAACATTACAGCAGAGCGAGGACGAGACACACCCTGGTTTCTCTGCCTTGCTGTGCTTTGGTGTGTATTACTTGCTGTGAGCCGCGCTGATGCAAAGCGGGTGAAGAGGTTTATTAGCTGAAGCAGGACGTGCAGGCGTCAGAGTGTGAAGTGCATGTTTAATCAGCTGTGAGAACAGGGCGAGGGATGAAGGTCTTTGCTATCAACTCATTTCACTCGGGCTGTTTGTACCTGTGAAGCTGATGCTTTATCTCAGCACCTTTTAATTAAGATGTGATTATGTTCAGCCTGTGCTTTGGGATCTAACTCTGCAGATAGAAATTTGTATCTGTCAAGGTCAGACAGTGTGTGTGTGTGTGTGTGCACGTGTGTGTCTCCGTGCGTTTGCAGATGAATTACACATTTCGGAGTATTTCTACGTCCGGCCCTGTCCACATCTCTGACTGTAATCCTCACTTATCTCCTGTCTGCGCCTCAACTCGCAGGATGGAGGGCTCCAATTTCCAAACTGCCTCGGTCTTTACTCTCTCCTCATCAACTTCAGTCCTCCTGCAGAGAGCTTTAACTTCTACAAGAAGCAATTTGCTCAAATGTGCAAGAGGGGATAGAACATAGCCCTTCATCAAACCACCGGCCTTGTATCCTCACACCAATGCGCGTGTTGTTGCATTGCTCTTGGCACATGCTAAATTTGGTCATGATCTGCCACATGTCCTTGGCCTGCACTGATCCTGCCTTGTATGTTGATTGTCTGAGTCATTTTCATGATATTTGGCCCCACATCACCAAGCAGGGTTGTTTTAGTCACGGTTAGTTATCCCCAAACTCAAAGAT